AACAAAAAAAAAAAAAAAAAAAAAAAAAGGAAAACACAGAAAAATGGACAGATTTCTAGATACATATGAATTACCAAAGTTGAAAGAAGATATAAAAATTATAAACACCCCAATTACAATCAGTGAAACTGAAAGCATAATTAAAAGAAAAGCCCAGGTCCTAATGGACTCACTGTTTAATTCTACAGGACATTTAGAGAAGAAGTACTGTCAATACTCTTTAAACTTTTCAATGAAATTGAAAGGGAAGCAATATTTCAAAATTCATTCCTGGAAGCAAGTGTTACTTTGATTCTAAAGCCAGGGAAAGACCCAACCAAAAAAAGAGAAGCACAGGCCAAACTCTCTAATGAACATAGATAACAAAAATCCTCAATAAGACATTGGCAAACAAAATATAGAGGGTCATCAAGATCATACACTCTGATCAAGTCAGATTTATTCCAGGCATGCAAGCATGGTTCAACATACATAAATCAATAAATATAATACACTACATTAACAGAGTCAAAGACAAAAAAATATGATCATCTCTATAGATGCAGAAAAAGCATTCAAAAAAAATTCATCACCCATTCATGATGAAAACCCTGCAGAAAACTGGAAGCAATGGTCTTTATCTCAACTTGATAAAGACTATGTATGAAAAACAAACAGCCAACATCATACTAAATGGTCAAAAGCTGAAAACCTTCATGCTAAAATCAGGAACAAGACAAGATAGTTGTCCACTATCACAACTCCCATTCAATATAGTTTTAGAAACATCGGCCACAGCAATTAGACAAAAGAAAGAAATGAAAGAAATTAAGGAAATTAAAGAAACAACCCCTTTCACAATAGCATCCAAGAAAATGAAATAACTAGGAAGCAATCTAACAAAGGAAGCAAAAGACCTCTACATTGAGAACTATAACACTCTGAAAAAAGAGATTGAAGAGGATATAAGGAAAAGGAAAGATATCCCTTGCTCCTGGGTAGGAAGAACCAATATAGTAAAAATGGCCATGCTTCCAAAACTGCTATACAGATTCAATGCAATTCCTGTTCAAATCCCAACAGTGTATTTCTCAGAAGTAGACAAAACAATACAAAAATTCGTTTGGAACCAGAAGAAATCTACAATAGCAAAAGCCACTCTAAGCAACAGAGACACAGCAGGGGGTATCACGATCCCCAACTTGAAACTACTACAACGCCACTGTGTTAAAAACAGCATGGTACTGGCAAAGAAATAGACCCAAGGATCGGTGGAATAGATTAGAAGACACCCAAACAACTCCAGATATACTAAGCTACCTCATCTTTGACAAAGGAGCCAACCATCCTCACTGGAGGAAAGATAGCCTCTTTAATAAATGGTGTTGTAAAATAACTGGATTTCAACTTGCCAAAGATTAAAACTAGACCCTTATCTTTCACCAAGCACTAAACTAAAATCCAAGTGGATTAAAGATCTAAATATTAAAAAAGAAACACTAAACTTGCTGGAAGATAAGTTAGGCAGAACTCTTGAAGACATTGGCATAGGAAAAGACTTTATGAACAAATCCTCAGTAGCATGGGAACTAGTAAAAAGAATCAACAACTGGGATCCCATCTTTTTAAAAAGCTTCTGCAGTGCAACAGAAACCACCAACAGAGCTAAGAAATAACCTATAATGTGGGAAAAATTTTTATCAGCTGTTTCTCAGACAAAGGTCTACTATCTAGAATACATAAAGAACTAAAAAAATCAGGACCCCCAAAAATATAAAGACCCGATTAAAAAATGGGCATCCGAAATGAATAGATATTTCTCAAAGAAGTAAAAG